CCTCTGGCTTGACTGGTTTGCGGCCACAAACCAGTCTAGCCAGAGGTGACCTTTCAGTGCAATATATATGACCAATTCTAACACGACCAGTCGGGCTACTAGCACTCTGGTTGTATGCGACCAGACCAAGCATTTATCTGACTAGGTCGGTCGGACGTGGGTTAGTGTCGAACCCGGCGTCAGGTGAGCGCTGTCGCTCTGCGGCACTTGTTTTGTATTCTGTGAGCCGTTTTTCGTGGGAGCAGTGAACGCAGTTCCGTTGCCCAGTTTCAACATAGTTTGTGCCCTGTGGCAGCACGAAAGGCTATAGTTCCAGAGCTAATATCAGACTATCTCAAATAAGAGTGTCCTTACTCGTTCTGAGAAGTGGAGAACAACTTGGGGTATGTCTTTCAATACTGATAAATTCTTTGCATTACCAGTAACTAGCTCTTGGTCACCCTTGACTTTTACTAACTTGATGTATCATAAATATATCTAACCCCCTGTTGTTACTGTTGGGTAATGACGACAGTAACACAACTCAATATGAGGTTTAATTCTGCAACTAGTACATGCTGCTGGGTTACACACTTGAACAGGTGAACACAAGAGAGCGATATCAATCGAGATGGGTGTCCAAAAACTATCATGATAGATCTGAGGTTGTTTTAACTCAATTTGATTGGCCTCTTCTTTGTGTGTGCTTTCTCCATGCAAAACTTATAACCTTTCATGAAACTTATCGTGGTCAGATGAAGATTGGCATTCCATTTTGCTGCAATTTACAAGAAGGGGTATTCATAAATTAGTAAACAACTAATAGTACTACTAGCATGTAACAAGAAGTAAACAACTAGCATGTGCTCAACTGAACTCGGCATACATTCGTGAATTCAAGCTCACAATTATGTACATACCTTTCATTGTACGTGTTGTAGGTGCCAAGATGAATAAGATGCTGGAAGGTTTGGCTGCGTGGGTCTTTAATACGTATGTTGGTGAATACCTGGAGAATCTGAATACAGACCAGCTTTCTATTGGATTACTGAGAGGTGACTATATAGGAGGCATTAGCATGTTACATAACAGGCCATAAGCATGTGAGTGTAAAACAGCTACTTTTAATGGATATCTAACACAGTGTAACAGGTAATGCAACTTCAACTTTTAGTGTATTTTGCATATATATTGGACATTAATTATGTTACCTACAAGTATTTATTCTTCATTAATAATGATAATAATCATAAGTAAGTAAATGCGTAATTTATTTGCCTAAGTATCTAATGTGTATGTTATGAAATTCACAGCATTTACAATGATCCACCTTGATGTGATAGGATAAGTTGGCTATTTTGAAGTTTTTGCATAGTGGTTTCTTGGTAGTAACATTAAGACGTTTTTATTTTTAGCTCCAGACCATGCGAGCATTCGATTTTAGGACACTGTTCTGGCTCCATGTGGTTAAATATTGTATATATATATATATAAATATATATATATGCATATATTCAAGAGTGCATAATAGAGAAGAGTATGACACGGTTTTAACAGCGTTTTGCATAGTTTTCAACTTGTAAATATTCTATCAATATGTGAATAAATATATTCAAACTTTACCTTGTTTTCGTCTATGATTCTCCCTTAATCATATGACACCACCAATTTACCTGAAAATCGTATGTGTTCTTCAAAAAAGTTATTTGAATACGACACGGTTTCGTACAGTTTTCACGCATGGATGCATGTTCCAGACCAAAGTTTGTTATGGGATTAGTGTTCTATTGTCTATGACGGTACGCTGGGGGCCGTAAGGGAATCAGCTGCTAGCTAGCTGGCCGTGAGCACATTTATTTTTAGCACGCTGGAAACGCTGCACGCTAAATACAATTCGATGCCTAATATCCCATACGGCCCCCAAAGTTCCGTCATAGACAATAGAACACTAATCCCATAACAAACTTTGGTCTGGAACATGCATCCATGCGTGAAAACTGTACGAAACCGTGTCGTATTCAAATAACTTTTTTGAAGAACACATACGATTTTCAGGTAAATTGGTGGTGTCATATGATTAAGGGAGAATCATAGACGAAAACAAGGTAAAGTTTGAATATATTTATTCACATATTGATAGAATATTTACAAGTTGAAAACTATGCAAAACGCTGTTAAAACCGTGTCATACTCTTCTCTATTATGCACTCTTGATATATTGTTAATATAATATGTTTGTGACATCTATCCATTTCAGGGGCAGTGGAACTGGAGAACCTCCCCTTGAAAAGAGATGCATTGAAGAAGTTCGATCTTCCACTTGAAGTTAAAGCAGGTATATGAATGTTGACGTGTTTGTATACTATAGAGCCTTTATTCTTTGGATGTCATACTGTCATTGACTAATAACCTGATCAGTACTTCTATTTATACAATAGTGAGTGAAATAAAATGAGGCATCATTAAAATTAATATTGGTACAAGCATCAAATAGCATCTGATGAGAGAGATGATGCAATTCAAAGAAGCTAACAAGACAATTTTAATTAACCTATAGGATTCGTAGGCAAAATTGGTCTGCACATACCTCTAACAAAGCTACGGAGCGAGCCATGGGTTATAACTATTGACAAATTGTATCTTGTTGCGGGACCACTTGAAAATGATGAGGTAAGAAAAATACTTCACCGAAATAAAAATAGTTCAGGTGGATACAGTGGGCAATACAGACGTGATTATTGGTTTATATTTTTGTATACTATGATGTAAAACTACTCCATGATTCACATTTTTTAACCATAAGTTATTAAATAGAAAGTAATAAAATTAATAATGTTTTAATTTTATTCTGTTTCTAAGATCAGTGTTTGTGTACCCGATTTACACGTAATCTGTCACGGGAAAAAAATTGGTGTATGGATATAGTTCCTGCATGTGCTAATAACATAAATTTTATGTCTGTGTTTCTAGTATGATGATAAGAAGGAGGATGCTACAGAGCAGGCAGCTAAGCAGGCTCAGCTCTCTGCACTAGACAAACAGTGGAGGGTGAGCTTTGCGCAGTGTTGTCACACAATACGGTCGTAGTAATGCATAGTTATACAGTTAACATCTATATTTATATGCACCTGCTATAAAAAAAAGATATATTAGTTCATCATGTTATTACCTGCTTCGTTAATCTGTCTGGCTCCATATTAGCAAGGAGTTGATTTATTGTAGTTATATAAGAATATCGTCTTTGGTAGACCTGTGGATGCTGCATATTCGTTTCTATTCTGAAGCTCTCATTTTATAACGCCCTCTATCCTTTTGCCTGTAGTGATTTCCTCAGTAATGATTTATGTGACTGCAGGATGCACACAACGTGACCGTAGAGCAGGATGAAGGATATGGCGCCTCCTGGTGGTCGGTCGGAACATCACTCACCACGAACATCATGGAAAATCTTCAGCTGCGCATCAGCGACGTTCACATCCGCTACGAGAACAGCGATATCTATCCAGGACACACGTTAGCCTGTGGTATCACCATCAGTGCTCTATCAGCACAGAGCACTGATGAAAATTGGGTTTGTGTTTGCTTCAGTTCACTTCAGTGTTTTTTGCATTTGTTCCGGATGGTATTCTTCTGGTATCTTTGTTTCGAGTGGTATTCCGCTTCGGTGGTTCGTGTTTGTTTTCATGGCTGCTGTTCGCTGCAGCAATTGGTGTTCATTATGCCAGTTCATTTTCGTTCTTATGGTTTGTGATTGGTTCAACGTGTTGTTCATTTTGGTGCATCTCAGGAATCCGCTACGTGTGTTGTTTCAAGGTCATGAGGAAGCATCAGCCTTTCTATGCTAGCTATGTTGAAGGGGGTTTCTTATTGTTACTCGTAGCCACTCTCTAGTGCAAAGAGAACACTGAACACACTTAACGTCTAGCGTTGCTTAAAACCGTTGATGACTGAGTGTATTAATTAAGTAGTTTACATCACATTGCAGATTTGTGTGCTGTTCAAGAACGACAATGATTGGTGTAAAGTATAACGATTTTTTGCACTGTAGGAACCAAAGTTTGTCACCCGGGATGCTGCGAACATGATGTTGAAATTGGTTGAGCTGCAGGACTTCTCCATCTATTGGGACACAAATGCCAGTCTCATAGGAGACCTCTCCATGCCTGAGCTGACTACTCACATGCAACGACCGATCTCTACGGATCACGCACAGCAGGTACAATTCGACCTCGTTTATCCGGCCACGTCGGGACCGGCACTCGTCCGGATATGCGATTTGGTCGGATATGCGATTTATGCTCAAACACAGCATTTCTATGCAGTTCAGTAGGGGGTATGCCCGCCGTTCCACGCTGTGGAACTTGCTGCTCCATCGTCCACGTGTGGACGATGGCGCAGCAAGTTCCACAGCGTGTGCGCATGCAAAATCCCTCGATCTGCGTCGTGTGGAAAATATCACACGTGTTTGATATTTTCTTCCACGTGTGGAAGATTGAACAGCGTGTGCGAGTGGCTGTGTAAATTTCCACACTCAATTCGCATTGTTTGCTTGGACGCATTGTATTTTTTTCTCAGCTCGCATATAAGGCATGTCCAATAGAGGCATGTCCAAGAACTGATCGATCAAATGTCGTGTGAACGACGCTCCGTATCCAAGCGAACAATCAAGAACAATGCGAATTGAGTGTGGAAATTTACACAGCCACTCGCATGGGTGGACGATGGCGCAGCAAGTTCCACAGCGTGTGTGGTGGGCTTTATGCATGTGATAATGTATTTACTCGTTACTATGATTATTTGTAACAAACTGTCATGTTTTATGGTTTATATGAAATCAGAAGTAGATAATAGGGAAGGAGTGTGACTTCAATAAACATTCGTAACTCAAATCGTACACAGTACATTCGCCTAGCATCGAGCGAAATCGTTTTCTCGTATACACCCGCAATCCGGAGATACAGACTAAAACGTATGACACGATTATCCATTCTGTTACCAGCAAACCAAATGTATAAACCGCCTAACTTGAAACAAAAGGCAGTTACTAGCAAGCCACACCGCATCGCCGAGTGCGCAAGAGTCGCTAGTAGCTGCCTTTTGTTTCAAGTTAGGCGGTTTATACATTTGGTTTGTTGGCAACAGAATGGATAATTGTGTCGTACGTTTTAGTCTGTATCTCCGGATTGCGGGTGTATACGAGGAAACGATTTTGCACGATGCTAGGCGAATGTACTGTGTACGATTTGAGCTCAAGTTGGTTGAGTTACGCGTAGTAAATCGTAGGTATTCTAAGGCTAGTAAATGACGAATTTCCCTTGTTTATTGAAGTCACACTCCTTTCCTATTATCTACTTCTGATGAAATGGCAGGGCGTCAAGTTCCTATTTTTTCCTATTTTTTCGTATTTTCTGGGCAATTCCTATTTTCTCCTATTTTCTGGACAAATTCCTATTTTTTCCTATTTTTGAGGGCTTTACATTTTTTCTGAACTCCGAAGAATTGAGTATCCTCATCAAGAATGACAGGAATTTCAGCATTTTACTGTGACCGCTATTTTCAAAAATTTCTATCCACTGGGGAAGACCGCCGCAGACCCCACCGCCTACTACTTTGAAAATGCATGTAAATCACCTTTTTACTATCACAGATTTTATTTCAAGTAAAGTTGTTTCTCAGTTTGGATGTGTACTGTGTATCCTAGATGGGGGGTCCAGGGGTGTCCGGACGCCCCCGCTTGTTTACCTAAAAAAAGGGCAAAACATAAAAGAGATTTTCCCGCCTTTCCCTCGCCATGAGCGACGCCGCCGGCGTCCGCCCGGCCCCAGACCGCTGCCATTGTTTT